TTGAGATATAAGTTTGAGAAACTCTGCATTCTGACCAAGCTCTTGGAGCTTCACTGGACACATTTCTACAGTAAAGTCTCTGAGAAATTTTGCTGTCAGGAATATCTGTTATACTTTGTTTTGCAGGCGTTTTTCAGATGTAAGTAATTGACCATGGAGCCCTCTACTTCCTGTGTAAAAATATCTATGAACATCCTAAGAATTAGCTATGACACTTTGAGAGACATTTGATTCTACCTTTAAAAAAATTTTTGGTTGTCATGCTACCATCTGTTACTAGTTTCAGATGTTTTTAAAATTAAGAGATATCATCTTCTCAGCTCCTACTGAACTGATCATGCCCCTTGCTCTGTCTGTGCCTTCTGTGCCCAGGGCCCTTTCTCAGCTACCCCCAACTTGGCATACTTCTCCACCAACCATCTCTATGCCTTAGAAAATAGCGCTCATCTCTTCTCTCTAGGCTGCAGATGCCTATGCCAGCTTCTCCCTGGCCATCCCTACTGGGTTGGCACCCAACACTTCAAACTCAACCATTTTCATGCAAACTAATTGCCTTCTTCCCCACACTCTGCTTCTAACAGTTGGCATCACCATCTACTCCGTGGCCCAAGGTAGGGACTTAGTGCCTCTCCACCTTCATCCACTTAGCACCTGCACATTATTGATTTGGCCCCTGAAGTTTTCTCTCATCTGCCCTCCTTTTTCCATCCATGTGGCTGTGGTCCCAGCACAGTCCTCCATAGTACTCACTTCAATGGCCCCCACACTCTTCTAAGCCCCAGCACCCACCCACCAGTTCTGCACAAAGGAGAAATACAAGTTGGGGTGCAAATATCTTTACAAATTAGTGTTTTGGGTTTTTTGTTTTTGTTTTTTGATAAATACCCAGAAGTGGGATTGCTGAATCTTATGGTAGTTCTATTTTTAGTTTTTTGAGGAATCTTCATACTGTTTTCAATACTGGCTGCACCAATTTACAGTCCTACCAACAGTGCACAAGGGTTCCCTTTTCTCTACATCCTCGCCATATCATGTTAAGTGAAATAAGTCAGACAGAGAACGACAGATGCTGTATGGTTTCACTTATATGGTATATAAAAATAAATAAACAAGCAAAACAAAAACAACTCATATAAAGATCAAAGGGATGGTTACCAGAAGGAAGGGGGAGATAAGTGAAAAGGGAAAGGGGAATATAGTCAACAGTTTTGTGGTAAGTTTCCATGGTGATAGATAATTACTAGAATTAGTAGGGTGATCACATTATAAGGTATAAAATGTCAAATCACAGTATTGTAAACCTGAAACTAATATAACTATTATTATATTGTATACCAACTACATTTAAATTAAAATAAATAAATAAAAATAAAATTTAAAAACAATACAAATTGGATTATGGCATTCTCTTGCTTGAAACTGCCCTTGTGAGCAAACCAAACCCTTTGGTAGGACATGCAGGGCCCTCATGATCTGCTTCTCTAGCTTCTTCAGTGTTAGCTTCTGGGGCCCCATCTTTGCATTCTTCCCTCCAGTCAGACTCAGCTACTCTCTGTTTCTCCAACACATGCTGCTCTCTTACCCCTTCCAGCCTTTGAATGAACGCGAAACATCCTTGTGCTGGAACTTACCTCTTTCATTTCCTTCCTGTGGCTGAAAAGTTACTTCTCCAGTCATTCTCTCTGACCTTGTAATGAAGGGTTGCCTGTCCTACCTTCCCCACCAAGTGAGCCCCTGAACCTCCTATTATAATTATTCCCTTGTCCATACCTCTGCACTAGATGCAGCCACTGATTATGATTATGGGAGTTACTATGAAATTATCTGCATTATTTGGAGTCCCTTTGAAATATTCCCATTTCCCCAGGAAAGCTTTGATCTTCCAGGATCTCCAGGTCCTTGACCCAGAGATCCTCAGATTCTTGCCACAGATTTGACTATCTTCTACAATGTCAGCCTGAGACCACAGAGTCTGCCTGCCTCAGTTAAGAAAAAAGAACCACAAGAAGAAAATGCTTTGGGTGGGATAAGTGAGCACAGAGAGGGTCACAGAGTAGATAAAATAAAGAGGCTTTATTCAGTTTTGTGACCAGTAATGCAAAGGAGGCACTTTTTAAGCCAAATAAGAGACAAAGCTTTGTCAGCACTGGTAAGCAATGACTCATGAGCAATTTCAAGATAGTTCTTTTTAATCAACATGAGAGCATCCTGGGGGAAACACAGTTTGCCACCTGGTGCCCACAAAGAGTGGTTCTTCTCCCCTTTCTACTCTCAGAGTTTCCTTTTTTTTTTTTTTTTAACTTAAATTTTTAAAAATTTAATTAATTTATTTTTGTTACACCAAAGTTTCCATTTTTTTTTGCCTACAGTGGTAGAAAGAGATGGGGAGGGGATATAACTGTGCCCATCCCTCATTCTAAAGACCTAAGAATTTCTCAGACACAGTAGGGTCCTGGTGGAGGGGGCCCAGGCTTGGACTGGAAGGGTTGGAAGGACCAGAACTGGGGAGAGGAAGGAATAGGGGAGAAAAAGGGAACATGTTGATGGCTACTCCACTGGGGATAAGGTAAAATACCAAAGGACATTCCAAAGATCACTGGACTGATTGCTGGACATGGGCCTGCCCCAGGCTTCCCTTCCCTGTGTCTGTGTGTTTAGAGTGCATCACATACAAGGCTGAGCACGTCTCACAGCTCTCCTGGCCAGTCAACCTGTGAAGGAAGGTGTGCATATCCCTTGCCCCACTGATTCCCTAATGTACTTCATGATCAGGAGGGAGAAGGCCCAAGTGGAGCTCCCAGAGCTGCCCAGTGTCCATAGCTCTGATGCTTCTTCTTCTGCCCATGGAAGCACCCAGGTGCAGTTTACATGATAATATACTCACTTAGTTTGGCTTGTTTTCTTTTGTTTCTAGGTTAAATATCTAGAAGTTTGCCTTTTCCATGGCTCTCCTATTGATTGATTCTATTTTCTAATTTATTGATATATGCTTTTTCTGAAGGATTACTTGGTTTTGCTTTCTTTAGGTTGTGGTTTGGGTTGTTGACAAGTGTTCAAACTCACCTTGTGTTCCTTCTCTCCTGTACATCTTGGAAAGCACCTGTGAACCTGCCTCCAATCTGTAGTGTGCTGTTCTCTTTAGTTCTTCAAATACCCTCAACTACAGCTCTAACATTCTTTTTCTTAAGAGCTGTGTTTGGTTTTCAAAGTAATTGGATCTTCCATTTATACATCCTTCTTCTCCTCCTGGTTTTGGGGCATTGAGTCAGAGAATAAAGCCTGGATGGTTTTTGTTGTATAAAATTCACCGAAATTTTCTTTATGACCTAAAGTACTTTTGTAATTTTTAAGTGTTCTGTGATCTCTCAAAAAGAAAGTACAGCTTCTTTCTGTAGGGCAAGGAAAAATTTATAGAACTAATAATTTACCTGTATTGATTATAACATTAGAAACTTTTATGTCTATTAAAATGTAATGTGTTAAAGGTCTTGAAAAGGTACAAAAGTCTACCATAGTTAGGTTTTCACCAACTTCTTGTTCTGGTAGATGTATGCTCTGGTAGATTTTATGCTCTCTGTGGGTCTGTGACTGGTGCCCTTGCTATGGCTGCTTCCCTCACTGTACCAAATGAACACTTTATTGTCATTTTGATACTGTAGACCTTGTAAGTTGTGTGCAGTGGAATTTTATTTTTTGAGGCTGAGGCTCTCTGTTTTCAAGTGGAGGAGTTAACCCTTCATCTAATGACCACACCTGAGGGGCTTGATCTTATTATGATTTGGTTTTCAACACAATGAGTAGGGTCAACCATGGACTCTAGAATTCAACTACCAGGGTTAGAAGCCCAGCTTCTCAGAACTCAAATGCCTTTGGCCACTCACCCAGCATGCCACTGTACCACATTAAGCCGCAGTGTGCTTCTCTTTGAAATGGGGACCATCATAGCTCCCCTTCCCCATCTGTCCTGGCACTGAGTGAGTTAACATGTATAAAGTACTTCTCAGCTGCCTGATGCAGGCACTTGTTCAGGATCAGCTGGCAGGCACCACTGGCACCTTCTTTCCTCACATCTCTCCTTGGTGAGCAACTCCCCCCACCACTTATCTTCCACCTAAACTCTCTGGGGTGGGGCTCTCTCTTCTGATGCACAAAACATTCATAGACCCATGCACATTACTGGGATCTAAGTTTGACAGCGAGAGGAGGTAGGGAGGGCAAGACAGACCTGTTGGGGCAGAGGCTAGGTAGTATGAGAAGAGGAGGGTACGCATTGAAGACATGGGTAAGGGTCGAAGTGAGCAGTGTGTTAACTGTGTTTCTGATGCTCTGACATCTGGGGTCTTGCTGATGCTGAAGGAACTGCCCTCCCAGGGTGAGCCACATCCTTGAGATAGTGAACGACTCACTATGGAGTGTGCTTTTAAATGCAAAACAAGCAATTGAGAGTCCATCCCCAAGTACCTCGTTTCTTGGGGTCTCAGACTCTGGACCACTATACCCTGTCTTGATCAATCCAGGGCCAGGTACCAGAGGACTAGAAATAGCACTGAACCCCAAAGCCTACTGAAATTATTCAAACTGGTCAATCCTACTTCTGCTTATTCTGCCTCGCCTATTCCTTCTTGGAGAAACCACAGCAAAGACACTCACCCATATTTTCCCTTCCCTTTATCTGCCTCCTGACAGACCTGGGTGCCTCCCTGTGTGGCAGGGTCTGTGAGTAATATGCCATCTTTTCCATGGTAGTCACCTAATGATCTGTTGGCCTCGCCACACCAGAATAATAACAAAACCTACATTTGAAAAACAGGGGTAAGGGTGAAAGGGGAGTAGGAAAATGTGGGTGGCTCACAAGTTTCTTGTTTCTTATAAGAAGCGCAGGACATCCAGGAAAGGCAGGGTTATCTGGGCAGATATAAACACTTTCAAAGAAGCCCATGTCTCACTGGAGGTCCCACCATCTCACAGCAAGTGGGGCTCTGGCATGGATGCTCGCTCACCTTCCCGTAACTCAGCAGGATTATCCGCACCAGGACCACATTGATGTGGGCCCCCAAGGACTCGTCATGGTAGATTTCATTGACCTGAAAAACAACCAGGGGGATGTTGTCAGCAGAAATCTTAGGCCTAAGGATCAGCCATGGCTTTGTAAATGACATCACCACCCAACCAGCCCCAGGCCAGAACACAATCTACCTCCCACATTCTTTCCTCTTTCTCACAATTTACACCCAAGCACACCTCGACTTTAAATCCAGCCTTCCTTCCTTCTGTGCCACCTGCCCTGTAGCCACTACCCCTGCCTGGATTATGGCCACCCCCTCCTCAGTGTCCCTTCTTGCCAGCACAGGCATTTTCCACCTGGAGCCTGAACTTGGACACTGACCCCTCTACTCACTCTAATTGCACATGGCCTTTTCTTCAAGGGTGACAATAGGCTACAAACTCCACATGCATGGAGAGTGCTGGGACTGTCAACAGTAGAAATCACTCCACAGTTGTTGCTGCTGGTTGTAAAAATTTATCTACGCATCACTATTTGGAGGGGGGGAGGGTGTTGGTGTAGACCCACTACCTGATCTTATTTTAATGTATTAATAATTAATAATCAGTGTTAATAAAGAACAGTTATTACTCTGTCACAAAGATACTTTTGCTATCATAGTTAGCTAAATATTAATAAGAAAGAGAGCAAGGAAAATCAGACATTGTTAAGCATGGTTAAGCACGAGGACACTGCCTCTTTGCTTCACCAGGAAGCTACAGCTTCATACACTATTTATGAGACCCCAGTATTCCCCTGCCAAGGATTAACAACCCCTCCCTTTCCCTCTCTGGTACACTTATGGTACTGGATTGCCTAGTAAGCAGGAGGAGATAAGGACATGTGAAAGGGAAGTCAAATGGCTCAGGGGGAAGTATTTAACCATAGAGGCTTGTTAGTCTAACCTGGGAAAGGGATCATTGGCTAGGGGTAGACTCAATGCAAGGCCATGAAAGTTTGGGAAGTTGATTGGTTATTCTGAAAAAGCTCCTGGTTCCTCCCAAACCTGAGAATACATAATCCCAGGCGAACAAAGAATCTCTCTCTCTTACCCACACTCGTCCTGTTAGTTCATGTTCTCTCCCTCCCAGGAAAACACAACCACTTGTGGCCCATGGAAGACTGCACAGGCTCCAAAGGAATGTGAAGCAGAAATTCTGGACACTGACCTTTGTCTTGGCCTTGCTGAAGACATGGTTGGACTTTTTCCATGGTGAGACTTAGGGAGATGGGAAATTGAAAACCTAAGAGGGGAATTCCTTTGATTTTGCATCATGAATAAACCCAGTCACACCACAGTCTCTCATGTGTGGATCCTTGAAACACTTTCTCGCGATCCTGTGGAAGAGTCTGATTTCCACCACCAACACTTTCTGTGCTCTGTTTTGATAAGTGTGGCTCACATCATTATCTTCCTTTGTATTTTATCACTGGTTTACTCATGTATTTTACTTTTTGCATTTAAAAGCATTATTATAAACAGTGCCCTTGACCTTCACCAAGTGTCAAAGGGGTTCATTGCACAAAAAAGATGAAGGGACCCCAATCTCCATAGCTCAGCCAGCATGAACTTCTGGAAATGTTGGTCAGGTTACCCCCAGGTTTGGAGCTGACAGAGCCTTCTTTCCCACTGACCCCTCCCCACACACTCTCAATATTCTTCCTGGAACGGCCCCTCACTGCCACCTCTTTTGCTGGCTTAGCAAACCCTCTCCTCCAGGCAGCCTAACCTCTGGTCACTTTCTTTCAGAAGCGCCTCCCCTGGTCTGACTGCTCCTCGGAAAGCACTGGTGTTTATTATTTCTTGAGTTCTTTGTGTCCCCTACAACTGTGAGCTGCATGGCATTTTCCCTGCGTGTCCCAAGCAACACACAGCAGGTGCTCAGAACTCTGAAGAATCAGTCCACTCAGGCCATCATTGAGGGAGGGGCATGAACTGTCTGTACACCCCTCCTGTGTGCACTTCAATCCGAGGCTGCTGATGGCTCTCTGTGAGGGCAGAGCCACCCCACCATCTCAGGCCAACACTGTTCTGGTTCCGAACCCCAAATTTTACAGTCTCTATCTGAGCAATAATAATTACTACCTATAATGAGTAGGAAAACCCTTTTGGAAATCTGAGAGTTAAAAAGGAAAATGAAATACTAATGGATCAAATGCTTTCCTGCAGGGAAAGGGTGACCTATAGACCTACAGGAGCACAGATGTCACTGGTACATGAGTCTGGAGAGGGTAGCTTGGCACCTGGCCACCAGCAACTGACATGGGGGGGCCCTGGGAGGCTCTGCCAATTCAACCACACTTTGCCATCTCCTCTGTAAAACAAGTGTAACAGTCCCTACCCTCACAGAGCTTCTGAGGACTAAATTTCCATAGATGTGAGAAAAAATGACTGTGGAAATGGTAAAATGCTGTGTTTGTCACTGCTGGTAGCTCATATTGCCCCGCAGGACTCAGGGGCAGAGTCTCAGGGGCAGGTTTGTGCACCCCTAAAACATAGACATCCTTGCCCAGCTTTGAGGGTCAAACTAGATATTTTAGTCCACAGCAAGACAATAGCCCTAAAAGCCAGTTTTTCTTAAGAGAGAAAGTGTGCTTTGTCTTCAAAGCAGTTGCAAAACTGGCCAATTTGGTTTCTAGAGTTAGATTGAAAGTCATGGTGCAGAAATGAAGAAGGCAGTGATATAAGGAGGTCCATCTGCAGCTGGAGGGCAGGAAGGTGGGTGAGAGAGACCAGGGATGGCATAAGAACAACCTTGATATTTGAGGGGATGATAGGAGGAAGCGCTTAAATTCCCATCCTTGCTTACTGGCTGGGATCTGGGAGGCAGATTTACATTTTGGGGTGGCTTCAGAGAGCAGAAATGGAGGCATGAAAAACTTCAGCAGCAAGAAGCCTGCAAAGGCAGCCAAACTCCCAGATATATGTAGGGAATCCAGGGACAGTGAGCAGGGTAGCTAGGGGACACAGCTGGACCTCAAAGAGAACCCAGGGGTGCTGACCTGCAAGAGGGGAGGATAGGCCTCTCTGCATGGCCACAGCAGAGAGAATAAACCCTTAGGTACTGAAACCACAGGTCTGCAGCCTGGAGGGCCACTGCCCAGAGCATAGCATGCTGGGAGAGATGTGTGCAGATGCAGGGCAGCCATGTCATACACACACCCTTACCCAGAGGGAGAAGGAATAACTGATGAACAGACCTACTATGGACTGAACTGTGTCCCCCAAATTAATATATTGAAACCCCAACCCCCAATGTAATAGTGTAAGAGAGTAGGGACTTAGGGAGTTGATTAGGATTAGAAGAGGCCATGAGGATGGGACCCCCATGATGGGATTCTTGCCAGGGGAAATAGGATTCTTTCAAGGGATCACAAGGAAAGCACCCTGGGAGACCCACATATGGGAGGTTGAAGCTCCCTGTTAGATTTATTGTAGAAGCAAAATCAAAAGACTGCCCCTGGGTTCCCAGTGTCCATTTGTCCCACCATGGAAAAGTCTAATCTTGTCTTCATGAGCTCCATAAATAGGGCCAGTGTCCAGAGATTTTTGTGCCATTTGTTCAGTCCATGTCTGTCCCCATTTGGCTAGTGTAGTCTGCTCCAAGTTATGAGCCATGTGTCTGGGCTGCAGGCTTCAGGCTGCTGGTAGGGCCACATGACTGCTATGGAGAGAGGACATGCAAATGAACAGGGCAAGTTTGTGTTACTCAAAGAGAAAGAATGAGGGTGGAGGAGGGCCTTCTTTGTTAGGCTGATTATATTATCTAGGACTTGGGAAGGACAAGTGGCTTTTTAAAAAAATACAATCAACTTCCCAAGTTCTTGTGGGCTTACAATGGGCCTGCCCTCTAACCAATCCATTTCCTAGATCTTACAAGGTTCTGTGTCCCTTATCCAGTCTGATCCTTTTTTCCAGGCTAGATTGATAGGCCTTTATGGTCACCATCTTGGTTTCTACCACACATGCCTCATAGTAGAAGCACCTCCCCCTGTGCCATCTGTGCCATCTTGACTTCCACTGGGCATGTGACCAGTGGAGGGATTTCTCCTGCTGTTTTAATTCCTCTCTGGGTAATCGGGGACTTAGAGGTCCCCTCAGGAATCTGTGAAGTTGTAGCTTCCGAGTGGAGCAAGCGGGATCAGTATCTGATTCAGCTCCCCAGTTCATTAGGCTTAACAATGTCTGATTCCCTTTGCTTCCTTCCTTTATTAATATTTAGCTATCTATGCTAACAGGATTAGTGCCATTATAAGAACAGATACCAGAAAGCTGTCTCTCTCCCTTTTCTCTCTCTTTCTGCTATATGAGGATATGGCAAGAAAATGGCTGTCTGGAAGTCAGGAGGAGATCCCTCACCTGGAACCTAATTAGCTGGCACCCTGATCTTGGACAGCCAACCTCTAATTGTATGATATAATTTAGTGTTGATTAAGCCACCAAGTCTGTAATATTTTGTTACAGTGGCCAGAGCTGACTCTGAAAAGCACAGAGTTGAAGCTTAATTTCTGACCTGAGTCATGCCCCTAACAGCTTTTAAATGGGAAAAGCCTGAGCCACCTCTCACAGGCCAGGTTACCCTTCCTTTTATCCTATGCTGAGGGTAGCATCAGTCATAAGAACTAAAGAAAGTTGCATTTTTCCCCACTTTTGAGCTTTGGTGTGAAAATGTCCATCCCACCACACACTTAACTCCTCAGCCCAATGACAGGCCTATTATAGGTTCTCAGTGGGACTTCTCAAACTGAGGCACACCTGGCCTCTCTCTCAGAGCCCATCCACTGGAGTCCAGAATCACATGGCCTGACCTCCCCTTCTCCATGGCCTTTGATAGGCAAAGAGCTGTCAGCTTCAATGCATGCCTGGCACTGTGTTACCAGTCAGGATTTAGCAGTGAACTAGCATGGCCCTCTGTTGGGAGGTAGAAAGGGAAACTCGAAAGTAACAAAACCAGCTCCACAATCATGATGACACTACTGCGAGCTGAAAGGAGAAGGTGGAGAACTAGAGGGCATATTAATGGGGAATCTGCCTTGTGG